AGCATTACAAACAAAAGTAACAGAAATGCAAAACCAGAAGCCACGTCATTATTCTAACATTTTTCATTACTAATATAAACACAATATTAAGAGGAAAGAAACTATTCAATATGGTATGATGCCCTTCCAATTTTGGCTGGTAAACCAAAATCACTAGGTATTGCTTACTATTTTACCCAAACAAGAGAAGATTATTTTAAATAAATAAAATTTTAACATCAAAGAAGTGTTAATAAGCAATCACAAAAATAACTCATGTTGGGACTGGGTCAGAGGTTAAGGGGATTTGCTGGTCTTGCAGAGGACCTGGCTAGATTCTCAGCACAGACATGGCAACTCAGAACATGTTCTAACACTGGTTTCAGGGGATCCAACACCCTTTTTTATTTTTTCCTTCATGGGCCCTTGTATGCATACAGTTTACATACACTCAGACTTATCATAAATAAAAAGTAAATCCCTTTAAAAAAAAAAAAAAGAAACACTAAACTAACACTAGAATATTTCTTCATAGTATTACCACTTAAAACTTTTACTAGAAGTATATATTACCGACTCTGAGCTCCATAGTAATTCCAAGAACATATAAATCAATTTTCCCTGTAAAATAATTTATTCACTTATTTAAGGAGGAGGAACTGAGTATGCCATGACTCACATGGTAAAAGTCAAAGAATAACTTTTGAGAGATGGTTCTGATTCTCTCCTTTCACCCTGTGGATAGATCCTAGGTTACAACTTGATTTTCAAGCTAGGCAGCTAGCAACTTACATGCTTGGTTAAACTCCCCCTTTTACATTCAATTCATAAAAGTACAGCTCTTCCCTATTCCAACAATAGATACATAAAAACACTATTCTAATACAAAAGGTTTTTGTTGTTTATGCTGCAGAATATTTAATGATACAAAGATATGCTGGTTGCATTTAACTCTTTGAAGCTATGTCTACAACACCTGATTGGTCTAATAAAGATCTGAACGGCCAATAGCAAGGTAAAAAGAAGATAGGCGAGGCTGGATGAGAGAATATAAACAAGGGGGAAAAGGTAAGAAAAGGAGAGGAAGACAACAGGATCAGCTACGTAGTTACACAGTCACCCATGAAGAAGAAAGGCATATAAAAGCAGAGGCAAAGGATATTGGATAATTTAACAATAACTGGCTAGAAGCAAGCCAGGCATTCATAAGAAAACAGTAAGCCTCCCTGTGTTTATTTGGGAATTGGGTGGCAGGCCCCTAAAAAGAACAACAAAAGATTTCCAGACCTTTTTTGATGGAATGGTTTTCATCTTCTTTTCTTCCAGGTAAGGTTTCTTCCCTTTATACCTAGAATTTTCCAACTCAGAGATCCACCTGCCTCTGCCTCACAGATGCTGGGATTAAGGATGTGTCCCAACACTGCCTGGCTTGATGATGAGTATGACTTTTATTTTCTAACACAATGATGAATAAATTATCTGACATTAAAAAAATATATAACACAAAAACAAAACTAGCCAAACAGCTAATGATTCTCACCAGGGATAATGGTTCCATTTTAAGTACTACCATTGGAAACAGTTGGTAGACATAAGTGGATGCTACTGCTACCTAGAAAGGCTGAGGTTGTTAAATGTCCTCCAATGAAGCCACAGTATTAAGTAGTTAGACGTGGAAATTATGGGGCCAGAAACACTGCCTTAGTTCAATGCCATCTCTACTCTACTTCTGTGTAACAAACATCTATGTCTACAGAGTTTAACCTGAGATGCAACGTGGATTTTCAAATACATGTTACTGCTTTTATCAAATCACAAATACAACTTCTGTAATCCCAATCTAGAATAATTTGATATTTATCTCATATTACTTTAATAAATCAAATTGTCTTCTAAAAGAAATACGAAATTACCATTATACACAAAATATTCCAGAGTTTGAATATTAACACCATATCAAACATCTATGAACACCAAGACCTTAGTAAACATTTATTTAGATCCTTACCATTTCCCAAAGTAATAAATTCAAGTTGTTTTTAAAAGAAAAGTAGTTTAAAAGCATACAAATTTTACTCACATCTGATTCTTTGCTGCTTGCCTCTGAGCTTTTCTTTCTTTCCTCTTCTGATCTGGTGGCTTAGCAAAAACAATTTCAATATTTTCTCCCTCCAAGTCTTTACCATTCATTTCTTCCATAGCCTTTAAAAAAGCAAGACAATGATCAACATAAAAGGGCTTTCATTAATTAAAAACGTGAAGCCTTTCAATTAGATAAAACATGGTTGGGCTATAATCTTGCTCTTCACTATTTTAACTTAAATTGTGTGAGAGCAATACCGTTTGCTTGACTTTTATTAATCATGCTGATTTTAAGACAAAAATGTTGGGCTAATTTAGGTGCCTATGAAATTTCTGCCACTTGTTTACCTTGACAGCACCATCTCGCTCATCGAAATGAATGAAAGCATAATCTTTTAGTTTCTTCACTCGTTCCAGTTTCCCAAACTGACTAAATGACTTTTCTAAAATTTCTTCTGTTACAGTGTTGGCAAGGTTGCGTACAAACAGCACTTTTACCTGAAATAAAAAAGCAAATTTCCTAAATATTTCCAAAAGCAATCACCCCGTCCTATAAAGTTAACTTGAAACACAACCAGTAAGTAAGTACATATAGTTTTGAAGTCCTGTGGGTAAATGCCAAGGAATAAAAGTACTGGTAAGGAAAAAGCAAAAATACTATTATCAAAACAAGAACTACCATGAAAAATGTATTCAGTTCTTAACAGATAAGCAAGCTAAAAAGCTGAAGCAGAACTACACACCTTAATCCCCAGAACTTGCGAAGAAGAGGCAGGAGGATCTCAGTTCCATGATGCCAGATCTGTTACTGTACCATGTACTAAAACAAACCTAGAGACATATTGGGTTTACAACATTTGAGGAAAAGGAAGGAACAAACTTTCATTCACAGAGAATGGGGTGTAAAATGATGTCACCCCTGTATAAAGTGGTTCCTTAGCAAAATTAAGGATATTCTTACTTTTTAATCCTATGTTAATATTCCCTATTTATATTTACTGATGAGTTGAAATTTTATGTTCCCTCAAAAACCTGCATCCAGATGCTTGTAACAGCCTTATTCATAATTCCCCCAAATTAGAAAGAACCAGATATCCCTCAGTATATGAATGTACAAAGCAAAATTTTTAGCTGTATGTCAGGGATTGGTGGTGCATGCCTTCAATTCTGGCATTCCACCTACTCAGGGGACAGGGGAATCTAAAGGAGTTCCAGGACAGCCAGGACTACATGAAGAAACCTTCTATGTTGCAAGTAGTGGGGAATTGCTATAGAGTCATAAAGTCACAAAGATAGGGCATTTACAATTTACAATGTTACAACTCTGCGAAATCTATATAGTATATGATTCCAATCATGTGACATTCTGAAATGGTAAAAGAGATGAGGGGCTATCAATATATAGAAATTTGAATTTTAACTCTTCCCCCAAAGACCCATTTATTAAATTATGGCCTGGTCCAAAGCCTGTGCTGTTGTGGAAAGCTTTTAGAACTTTTAGAAGCTAGGTCTAATGGAAATTAGATGTATCCTTGAAAGTATAATAGCACCAAAGATCCTCTTCTTTCCTTTTTAGCTTCCTACCTGTGCTAAGAAGCTTCTTTTACCATGCTATATCCTCAGCATACTATACTATTTATTATACACTGCTACAAGCTCAGAAACAGTGGTGGCCAAGCAACCATGGATTGAAATCCAACTTTTCTATACTGTTCATTACTTTAATTATAATGATCGAACACACATCATTTTGTGTTTGTCAAAAACCCACATGCCTTTAATCCCAGCACTTGGGAAGCACAGGCAGGTGCATCCCTGTAAATTCTAGGCCAGCCTGGTCTACAGAGCTACTTCCAGGACAGGCTCTAAAGCAAAGCAGAGAAACCATGCCCTGAAATAAACAAGAAAAATAAACAGAGCTTATTGATAGTGCAGTTAAAAAACACTGCCTGCTCTTCCAAAGATCCTGAGTTCAATGCCCAGTGCATACATAATAAAATCTAAAAATCTTTATTTAAAAAAAAAAAAAAAAAAAAAAAAAAAGGCTTGCTGACACTTGTCACACATTGAGACCCTGGGTTCAATTTCCAGGAACATTTAAATCCCTCCACCCAAGCTGCATCATCCTGGAAACTTCTCAAAATACAATTATTCAATAGTAGTCAGTATTCCGAACAGTTCACACTGCCCTATATAGATTTAAGCAAATATGACTATTAAAAGGATTCCTAAAGACAGAATATCCAAACTGCACTAAAGAGCTATCTCAAGAGTTAATTTCATAGAATATCCTCAACTGTTTGCTTTTGGGGGGGGGGGGGAATACTTAACAATACCCAAACACTATAAAAAACTAAAGCAGTTCTATTAGGGTCCGCATAATGAATTTATTTGTGTGGTTGGTTGGTTTTTTCATTTTTTAAGGGGTATGACTTACAAACAACAACTAAATTAATTGCATCAGCTACAAAAGAAAGAAAGTACCCTGGAATCTATAATACCTATAGACACTTTCCTTGCACTCACATTTCTTGTGTATAACTAATCGCTTAGTAAACTACTTTTACATTCAAAAACAATGCGTACAATTCATTTACTAAGTTTTCTCTTGTCCAATTATTAACCCAAAAAAATTATTTTACTTTACTATAATTACCTTTGCCATAACTTCAGGATCAGGATCTTCTATGGGATCAGCCCATTCAACTGTTCCAACATTCCCCCAAACTTTGACTTTACCACTCATTAACCTACGCCTTGCCTGTGCAGCTGTTTTGTGATCTTCATATTCAAGAAAGCAAAAGCCTCTATTTTTTTTCTTGTCATCCGGTTGGTGATATAAAATGACATCTGTGAGACCCTCTGAAATTAAGCAAACATCCCAGAAAAGTTAACTACCAATAGCTTTGTTTTCCTAAGATGCTACTTAAATAAAATATGAAAAAAATAAGCTTATTTGTCAAACTAGACACTTTTACTAACAGCAATTATATTGAAAAGGACCAAAAGCCAAGTAGTGGTGGTGCATGCCTATTAATCCCAGCAGAAGCAGGCAAATAGATCTCTGTGAGTTCAATGGCAGATTGCTCTACAGATAAGAGTTCAAGGACAGACAGGGCTGGTACACAGAGAAACACTGTCTATAAAAACAAAAACTACAAACAAAAGACATACTCTCAAAAAATAATAAAAGGAGATCCCATTCATTTTCCAAATCAACCCTACCCTAGTTTTGAGCCCAGAGAAAAACCCAACGACAGCAAACTAACTAACCATGAGGACCATTTTGATTCCACTAAATAAATGTAGGAGACAAATCATACATCTAGAAAAATACCATCGCTTTGTCAAACATGATTAAATTAATTCATTGCATTAAAATTTTATTTGGGAATTTTCACATTTTACCACATCTAAAATTTGTTTAAATGGCACCTTTTTCTGCATTCAAATACCAATGGCATCCTTCAAAGGAAGATAGTAAATATTGCTAATGCATTCTGACAATAGAATGCATTTTTAAAATGTACCATGTTAACAATGTCTCTGCTCTTGTTCCTTTAACATAGGTAAAAAGGCCTCATTGAAATCTAAGAATTAAAAACCAATAAGGAATCGGAGAGATGGCTCAGTGGTTAAAAGCACTGGCTGTTCTAACACAGGGCCATGGTTCAATTCCCACCACCCACATAGCACCTCACAACTGCCTGTAACTCCAGTTCCAGGAGTCCAGGAGTCTTACAACCTCAGACATACATGCAGGCCAAAAAAAAAAAAAAAAAAAAAAAAAACTAAGAGCTAAAGTATGGAAATAAACACAAAAGAGATGGGAAATAAATACAAAGCAAATTGCAGGTTTATTTCCATGTTTAGTTTTATCTTACAAGTTCTCATAGCACAGACTGGCCTCAAATTCACTTGTTGAACTTCTTCCTATTCCTGCCAAGCACTGGAATGACAGGTGTGTATGTAATTCCCCAGGTTTTATGGTACTCAAACCTAAGGCTTTGTATATGCTAGATAAACATCATCCCAAATCCCATATACCTTAACTGCCAGGAAATAATCCTCAAAGCCTCTATGTACATTTGCTTGTTTTCTTTAAATTTGTTTCTGTGTATCAATGTGTTTGCTTGCATATGTCTGTGCCCTAATGCCCAGAGGCCAGAAAAGTAATGGTTGAGAACTACCAAGGAGGTGCTATTACTCTAACTCCGGTCCTCTGAAGCTGCCAATACTCTTCACTGCCAAGCCATCTCTCCTTTCAAATGTTGGCTTGCCCAGTCACCTTACACAAAGGGTTTTTCTTTGCCATCTCTGATTGTCACAGAACTCAAGAGATTGGTCTATCTCTGCCTTCTGAGTGCTGGGATTGAAGGTGTGCACCATCACCATCTGGCCTATTCATCTTTTTGTTTTGAAACAGTTTCTCTGTGTAACTTTGGGGCTTGTCCTGGAACTCACACTGTAAACATGGCTGGCCTCAATCTCAAGAGATCCGCTTACCTCTGCCTCCCATGTGCTGGGATTAAAGGTGTAACTACCACTGCCTGGCTTGAATGCTTATCTTAGTATTAATAAGGTTACCTGCCTCATAAAGCTGAGGTAAAAATTCTAGTGAGCAAATAAGAATTTGTAATGTTTAGAAGGCTTGACCAAAAAAAATTTACTCTCCATTACTGAAAAAGTTGTACCTCTAGCCAATTAAATCCAACTTACCTGTCACTTTACTAAATTCTTCAAGAATCTGTTCCTTGGTTTTACTCTTAGGAATAGAGCCCACAAAAAGCCTATTGTTGGCAACTGAGATGCAGACACCAATGTGCTTTCCGGAACGAATTTCATGATTATTATACTGAAAAGAAGAAAAAAAAAAGATTATATATACACCATTTTTTTTTTTTTTGGTTTGTGTTTTTTTATTTGGTGTGGTTTTTTTTTTGTGATATATTCATTAAAGAGTATTCTCAATCATCACATGTAAGAAAACAATTTTTTAAAAACTTTAATACTTTGTATCAAGTATTTTCAGTTTTTAAAAAAGCTTCTTTTCTTTTGTAAGGGGAAATGCAAATAAAAGGTGAACTACTAGGGATATAGAAGAGAAAAAGATATACATGGTGGGATAAAAAGAAATAGGAATGAACATGAATAAATTACATTATACAAATGTATGGAAGTGCCATAATGAAGTTTTTCAATTAATGTTTTAATATAATCCCTATTTTTAGGAGTAATAACAATCTGAAATAAGGTTTCACCCAAAAAAAACTCCCTGGGAAGTAGTGGCACACACCTTTAGTTCTAGCACTTGGGAGGCAGATGGACCTCTGTGAATTCAAGGCCAGTATGGTCTACAGAGCTAGTTCAAGGATAGGCTCCAAAGCAATACAGAGAAACCCTGTCTCGGACCCCCCCCCCAAAAAAAAAAAAAAAAAAAAAAAAAAAAACTTTAATGGCAGTTTTTGAATCCTTGAAATTAGGAATCTTCGCAGAAGTTTTGATTTAAAACTGCTGCTTTCACAGTTATCTTAAGTCTCTAAAAATCATTCTTCCATCCAGTTTTTCAAAATCATGGAAATCTCATTCAAGATGATCAGGTTTCTTGCCTCCAAGGTAATCATAACATACATACTTTTTCATTCCCACATTCTCTTGTCACAAGTTTCAATAAAGAATAGAAAAATGTAATAAAAGACTTAAGTCTAAAGATGAGCCTTTTTTATTCTAAATTTAGCCTTATTCTTTCCCATCCATTTCATATTACCAAATATACAAGAAAAATATACAAGGGAAAAGACTGATTCTTTCTTAAAAAGAAAAAGTAGATTGCCTTCTATAAAACTAAAACATAAATGTGATATTCAAGTAACCATATACTATAGAATAGTATACAATCTTATCATGTGACAATATATCAATCTTACTGTTTTTCTATTGGTTTTCAGACAGGGTCTCTCTGTGTATCCCTGGCTATCTGGAATGCACTCTGTACACCAGTCTGGCCTCAAGCTCCAAGATTCACCTGTCTCTACCTCTTAAGTGCTGGGATTAAGGCACACATCATCATAGCTGGGCCAAAATGATGTCTTAAAAGTTACCAACTTGCTTAGGAACAATGGATTTTATGAATTGTAGTTCATTTATTTTTATTTTGTTTTTTGTGGCTTTGGAGGCTGTCCTGGAATTAGCTCGTGTAGACCAGGCTGGTCTTAAACTCACTGAGATCCACCTGCCCCTGCCTCCCCAATGTAGGGATTAAAGGCGTGCAACACCACTGCCGGGCAGAAGAATGACAAATTATCGTGATTTATTTAATAAAATTGTAACCTGTTTTATTTAGTAAATAAAATTGTAAGCTGAGTTCAGTGATGCACACATGTAATCCTATCCCTTGGAAGGCTGAGGCAGGAGATCAGAGTGGACCGACTACACAAGGACAGAAGGGAGGAGAGGAGAGAAGATAATACCTACCTCATTTCTGCTCAACAACCCTGAGTCAAAGGGAAAGCATAGAAACAACCTGATTTTTATGAGAAGTTCTAATTTAATATGATAGGCCCTAACTTTTGAGACACTGACACTCACTCAGGTTGTTAGGGTTTTTCAGCATAGCACGAGGTTATGAAGATGAACAAAATGTATGTTCTTTTATATTTAGTAAAATGGATTCTTAAAAAGATTTTTAAAAACCAGTGTCAGTGAGGTGACCAATAACAAAATAAAGATAATTCTGACCACTAATCAGAGTGTACAGTGATGGCTCAGGGGATAACGAGCTTGCTATCCAAGAATAAGGCCCAGGAACCCCATACTCAGAACTCATGTAAAGTCAACACAGTAGCAGTGTAATTAATAGCAGCGCATCTTACAGAAATGGGAATCCCTGTAAAATTAGTGACCAGCCTGCCTGGCATAGATAGCAACAAAGAATAAAGATACCCTGGTCTCAAACAAGGTAGGAGAGGACTGACCATAACCTGAAGTTGTGCTTTGACCACTCTGGGAGCACTGTGGCACATTCACATTCACATTCGTGAATATACACTCTCTTGCTCTCTAATGAGACAGACTAACATATACATAGACACAACTCTCTAATAACCTCCTGCACATACTCTCATTCACACAAAGAAAAAACACACACATACAAATTTAACAATCTCAGATTTGAACTGTTATCCAGAAGTGAATAGTCAGTCATAACTCATCTCAAAGGCTGTTTTATTTTAAAACATTTAAAAAGTTTTCTCTCTACTCTGAGACCAAAAAACACCTCTCCTTAAAAATTCTACAATAAACTCTGTTTCCTTACACAAAAAACAGCTCTTAATATACCCCATATAATGCTCAGGACTTAAGTTCTTTATGATTGACTAATCATTCTATTCCAATAATGGCAAGCAAAACTACCTACCTCAAAGAAGCCAGCACTCTCAAGTATCACTTCAAAGTGTGATCTACAATATAATATTGGTAAATACAGACTGAGATTGAGGAGACTACTAATTAATCCACCCATAGACACATACACCTCTGCTATATATAGTCTAGCTTATTTGACAAGTCACAGCACGTTACTTACATTAGTTATACAAGGATTTGAGTATACCTTGTGAACTCTCTTCCCCAGGCTATCAAATGTTTCAGACCCTGATTTTCTCATCCAAAGTACAATCTTCCCAAAATCTTGCTCAAATCCCTCTTCTGTCTGGCCTTCATTCAAGTATTTTCCATTATTCAACCATTTATGCCATGCCACCCACTCCAAGGTTTAAAACTTTAAGAACGCTATGCAAGAAAGCACTGCAACTACCTTCTGTTACTAAATCTTATTATCTTCTACTTATTTCCATAAAATGCTATTACAACTAGCCATATTTTCTACATTGTGCTACTCATTCTTTCTCGGCCTTCCCTATCAACTCCAACCCATGTAAATCCTTTTACCCGTTAACTTGCATTTCAATTGTACATACCCTCTCCTGTCCATATAAACTCCAAAATCAATACTATAGTAAAAATCAGCACCTGTCTCAACTACTTACATTTCTCTCATATACACTACAGGATTTGTAAACACATGTGATATGAAGGCAGAAAGGATATTGATTGAAATAGACTCCAGAAAGGGAGAAAAACAGTAGAGGGGAAGTACTGAGAATGATCAAGGTACTATATGCTGAAATTTAATAGAAACAGACCCAAAAGTCCACATGTTAAACACAATTTTGTACAACTGCTGGTAAAATAGTTCATGGATTTTTTCCAACTGCATTGATGATTAATGTGTGTGTGTGTGTGTGTGCGTGTGTGTGCGTGCACGCATATGTATGTGTATGATAATAGTACATACATCATGCTTGTGTTTAAGAAAGGTTCCCACAACAGACAAAACTGGCTTCAACGTCATGGCAAAAACCTTATCCTCTTGCATGTGTTGCAGTTATACACCAGACAACACAAGGATAAGGTATGTTGTTTGAGTGTCTCTAACTCCAGCAAAACAGAGAAACTCTGTCTCAAAAAACCAAAAAAAAGATAAAAAGATCATGTCTTACACATATAAGGCTGGCTTCAAACTTGTTAGGTAGACAATGATGACTTTAACTTCGATTTCATCCTACATTTTCTTTCCCAGTGCTAGGATAATAGGTATACATCACATACTTGCTTTGTGTGCTGTCCAGGATCAAATCCAAGCCTTTATGAATGCATTATACCTTCAGAGTTACATCCCCAATTCTAATTCCTATTTTCTTTCTTTTGAACAATCCAAAATACTGTGCATCTGAGAGTAAATATACCAACCTCCATTAGTCTTAAGCCCTACAATTGAACATTATAACACACTCAAGATTATTCCAACTGGAGGCTAGAAAAATCAAAGCATTCTGATGTAAGAAGTAATTTACAAAGTGGGGGCAGGGGAACCCAGTTCCAGACAGAACGCCATCTCAAAAAAAAAAAAAAAAAAAAAAAAAAAAAAAATCTATAATTACACATGCCATGTCAGGTACTGTATAAATATCTATCCATCCCACACATGCATGCAAATGGCATACACATAAAAGTAAATTTTTCTTATTCTGGAAATAAAGATACTATCTGAGATCTAATATACCACCTCAGTACACAATTCAATTAACTAGGTACTAAGGTACTGGGTATAGTACCTTAATGTACTGAAATATCCCAGATAAAGAAACCTAGTATCACACTAAAGCTACTCCAGTATGCAACATGGCCTCACTTAGCCTCTTTACTGATTCTGGTAAATGCCCTTTAAATTAATTTCTCTATATTCAAAGATTAGTGCAGCTCTCAGACCTCAAAGCAGTTTCTTTGTACAGTGGATGGATGGTGGTTCTTGAGCAAACGCACAACAGAGTCTAAGGATAAATGTCAATTGAGTATTTAGTCACAACTGGGACCTATATCAAGAAGGGACAGAAAGTCAAGGAGGACCAGAGCAAAGTGTCTTCTAGATGTGATGATGAGACCACTACACTGATGAATGCACAGCTAGTCAACAATTTAGTAAGAAGGAGGTTCACTAGCCACCACTTATAACTAAGCACATAGAGGCGGTTAAAGGTTTCTGGGGTAAAAAAATCGTTTTATTTAAGGGTATGACCCCTGGTAGGCTGACCACACTCCATTGAATGTCCCCATACCTAGAAGAATATGGGCAGCACAAACTGGGCTTTAATATATTTCTCGAGACTTAACAGAGAGAAAAAGTGTCTCGATTTAATCTATGGTTATGTATAAAGTGACATGTCAATTACAGAAATATTCACACTGGTCAACATTATAACTCAAATAGAACCTCAAAATATGATCCAAGCCAGGGTAATTTCTAAAATTATGTTCTATTGAGAAATTACTTTAGGAAAAGCATGCTAATTTCCAGACACAAAGTAGCAGAAAGTATTAAGTCAATTTCAATTTTGTATTTTCATATGTTCCAATCATTTCATTCCCTCCAAAATCTAATTATTTTCATCTTACAGTAAATCTCCTCAATCCATGATAATAATGAATCCTTTGTGAGGAACTAGGGAACAGGCTCCAGTTAAGAATACCAGCTGCTCTTCCAGGACTGGGACTTCAACTCCCAGCACCCATATATATGGCAGCTAATCTTCTGACCTCCAAGGGCTCTGCATGTATGCCTTCCACAGAAATATAGACAAAATACCTACAAGCAATGTTAAACTGGAGCCGCACACAGGTCAGTGGGGCATGCCTTTAATCCCAGCACATGGGAGGTAGAGGCAGGCAAATCTCTGAGTTCAAGGCCAGCCTGGTCTATACAGAGCTAGCTCCAGGACAGGCTCCAAAGCAGTAATACAGAGAAACCCTGTCTCGGAGGGAAAAAAAGAAATGTTAAACTGGGAGGTGGTAGTGCAAACCTTTAATCCAGTAAATCTAAGCTGTCACCATTAATAGTAAAAGGCATCAAACTGCAAAGTCTCCTATTTAACCACAAGTAAAACATTATGACCCCATATAAGGACCTGAATCATAAGCAGAAAAACCTAGAAATATGGGAAGGTTAAGGAAATAAGAAAGCAAAGGAGAGTTCATAGACCAATCAAAAAGGCTGCATGGTCATCTATGTTAAGTTTCTGAATTACAGTTAAAATACATACTATTATTAATACATGTGTTAAAACTACACCAAAATGATTAACAATTTTTGGATTGTATTTGTTATACCATGGGAGTTTTCTAAAGCATCTCAGTCTATTTACTGGTACTCAAAAATCATGTTAATAGTGAATTATAGGTTGTCACTATTTAATAATGCTTCATGAATTCATCTAAAATGAGAGTCTGATAGCAAAAAAATTAGTCTACAAGAATGACCTGGCAATTAACAGCACTGCTGCTTTTGCAGATGACCCAGGTTCAGTTATCAGCACCCACATGGTATTTCACAACCATCTTTAACTCCAGTTTTCACAAGATCAGATGCCCTCTTCTGACTACCTCTAGCATCAAGCAAACACAAACCCACATGCATTCATGAAAGCAAAACACTCGTAGGCCTTTTTAAAAACATTGACATTAATGCCAATGTAATGCCCCCCCAAAGTTGATATTAACCTCTAAAATTCTCTGCTAGCTTTTCTTTAATAAGATGGTTTTTTATTTTTTATTTACATTACTCCAACTTTAAAAGGCTTTTGGCTCTTACTGATTTTTAAGGGGCCTTTAAAGAAATGGCTCAGTCATTAAGAGCACCAATGCTCTTCAAAATGACCCAAGGCTCGACTCCCAGCACCCACCTGGCAGCTCTCAATCCTCTGTTAACTCCAGTTCCAGGGATCCAACACCCTCTTCTGGACTCGACAGGCAACAGGCACACAAGTGGTATAGATTTACATGCAGGAAAAACACCCATACATGTAAAAAGAAAAACTTTTTAAGCTACTTTATTGCTACCTAACAAAAATGGTGTTATTTAATATCCCAATCAAATGATTCTTTAATGTGTTATGTACCCATGTAATCAGTGGTCTCGCAAACTAGTTCCCTTACAAACTAACATCTTATTTTCTTTTTAGTTTGAGACAGGATTTCTCTGTACTGTTTTTGGAGCCTGTTTTGAAACTAGCTCTATAGACCAGGCTGGCCTCAAACTCAGATCTGCTTGCCTCTGCCTCACTCACATCTTATTTTTAAGACTGAGTCTATCAGTGAACCTGGATTGAGTTCATAGGCAAGAAAGGCTGGCAAATGAGTTAGAGATTCTTTGTCCCCATCCCCCAATGCTTGGGTTACACCAATTTATAACCAAGCCTGTCTTTTACATGAACACTGAAGATCTGAACTCCTGTCTCCAAGCTTGCATAGCAGGCACTAGGTCACTGAGTCATCTCCCTAGCCCCAAGGAGAGGATTTCTAAAGCTTCAGAAAGTCCTTCATTCCACTTCAACTTTTGATAGCTCAAAGGTAACCAGGCTATGAGAGGAATGGCTCCCTGAAGAGCTGTATCATCTTCCCTCTGAAAGAGAAGCATTCTTTTAAGGAAAAGTTAGCTATTATTTTTAAAATTATCTTTTAAAAATTCCTGAATTTTCTTTAAAGAAATCAAGAAACATACTTTCCAAATAGTAACAAAAGTTCAAGCAATAGACAACTGTAAAATATTCTAATTTTCCCTCTTAAGATCTGCCTAAAATCAGAAAGATACAGTGTACAAAAGATTTTTCATTTCAACCCAGCCATGGTCCTTGAGAGGTTAAGATTTAGAAGAACCCTGAATACAAGACTTTCCTGGGCTACACACACCAAAATATGGGGTTATATATGCTATGCCATTATGCCAGCATTAAAGACTATGTAGTTAAGTGCATTTGTGTCATAACTAACCACTTTGTAATTGGACATGAGGTTGTTTCCAAGGAAGAGAATGCAATAAAACCTGGTGAAATTCTATGGCTGGAAGTTCACAGGCGGGCCCAAAGAGGCCAGCTGATATTTTGCTTAGTCGACATTTAAAGTGTCTATAATTTTCATGGGTTTTTTAAATTTCTGTTTATTTTTGTGTTTGGTCTATGCTGACTGCAGGAATCCCAGGTGGCCAGAAGATGGTGCTAGACTGCTGAAGCTGGAGTACAGGAGTACATGAGTACTGTGGGTTCTGGGAACTATACTGCAGTCCTCCACAAGAAGAATATGTCTTCTTCATTGCTAAGCCATCACTCCAGGGCCCCAAACATTTATGTTTATATCCCATAAACTAGTGATGCCCTCAGACTTATGCATAGAAACCAACTGCAAAGGATAATATATAATGCAGAGACTCATAACTAATCAAAGGGACTATTAATTGCTTAGCCCTAAATGCATCAACTATTTTATTTATTCCAAAGCTCAGCAAGCTGCACAGAATTGGGGATAGAAAGACTGTCAGTTAGAAAATGGGGAAGAGTACCATGAAGTATGAACTTCTGGCTAAACATTCTTTGCACTCATAGTACACAGGAGCTAACTGCCTTTAACTGAAAGATTAGAGAGGGCCTAGCTTTCCCTGAGGAGCACTTGTGTTAATAAGTAAAAGAAGTCATGTTCTTCTGTGGTGTAACCACTAAAGTTTCCCAGAAAACAGCTTCCTGCTCATGCTCATACTAGTTGGGAAGAGCAGTGTCAGCAAGAGAGGGAAGGGTATGACAAGGTCATAATCAGGAGAGTTAATATGATTAATATCTTGTATACAGATATGAAATTGTAAAAACTTTAAAAAAATGACTGTAAATATCCCAAATTTAAAAAAAAAAAAAAAAAATGGTGGTGCAAGCACTATGGAGGCAGAAACAGTTCCAGAGCTACAGTGAGACCCGGTTACAAATAAACTCAGAAATCTGAAGGACTTCTAATTCAAATATCCTGCTTATCCTCTTTAAGAACTCTCAGGCAAAATCAGCCTGAAGATTTTAAATTTGTTTAGATTCCACAAAATATTTAAGCCATTTCACAAGTACCTCTCATAGTAAGTTGTCTACAGGGAAAGAGGCAAGATTTCTGCAAATTTGAAGCCAGCCTAGCCTACAATTTCAGTTTTAAGTAGGCCAAAGCTACATAAATGAAAAAGAACACATTCCTTAATTTTAAACTATCCCCTGGCTTTTAAATTTTGTAATTTTTAGACATTAAAATATAATTATATCATTTCCTCCTTCCCTACATTCCCCCAAGCAATTCCCCCGTGTACATACACTTCCTTGCTCTCTCTCAAGTTAATGGCCTTTAATTATCGTTGTTACTGGTGTTGTTACTGTGGTTACTGGTGGTGATGTGGTGTATGTATGAATACACTTTTGGTTTTCTCACCACCCTACCAACCTGGCCTCAATAATGGTAATCCTTGTCCTCAGGTATATTCAGACATAAGCCACGACACCTTCTTCAATCTTTTTGATTTGTAGAATTTAATAGATGTTTTATAATCGATTTTTAACATTTTAGAATTAAAAAACAAATTAGCTTCTCACTTAATATTTGGTTTTTAAATCAAATATTCCCACTGACAACAAAATCCAGCTACCAGAAAATTTTATCATCCTGGTGTGTTTACTGGTTGGATGGTTGAGACAAGATTTCTCAATGCAGCCTTGACAGTCCTGGAATCACTCTGTAGATCAGATAAGGGTGACCTCGAACTCAGAGATCCCCCTACCTCTACCTACCTCCAGAATGCTGGGAATAAAGGCGTGCACCACCACCACCCAGCTGAGTATTTTTTGACTGTTGTGAAGTGTGTGGATGTTTGGCCTATGTGTACACATGTTTGTATACCACATGCATGCCTCGTGCCACCAGAAGAGGGCATCAGATCCCCAGGAACTAGAGTTACAGATGGTTTTTGAGCTGCTCTGTGGGTGCTCAGAATTGAACCTGTGCTGCTAACAGCTGAGCCATTTCTTCAGCACTCTTGTGAATTTCGGGTAAAGGGAAAAATACGGTCCAGGTTTGGGAAAAACCTTTGGGAACCACATCATAAACCTTTCCACATTCACTTGAACTTAAAAGATGTATTCAAAGATAGATGTTTCTTTAAAACCATCTTAACAGATCCTGAATCTTATCCACTATCCTTGCTATAGTATTTTCTTAGGAAAAAAAAAAGTAAAAAGCACACTGCCTCTGCAGTACTTCAAAAACTGCCTAATACAGCACATAAAGAAAGCATTAAGGACAGAAACTATAAAGACTAATAAATTGGGGAAGGGCACAACTCACCAGTTTAACAGCCTCTTGTGCTGCTTCTTTTGTACAAAAAGTGACAAACGCATAACCTCTGTTCAGACCAGTAAGTGGATCCATCATTAAACGAAGATCCCATATAGGTCCAGCTTTCTCAAATAATGGAACAAGCTCATCCTCAAATAGATCTCTGGGAATCTTCCCCACAAATATCTGTAAATTAATATAAATTCACAATCATGGAGAATTCTTTAGGGAATTAGATATCTTGTTACTTTTAGTAAAACAGTACAAGTTTTTAAGTTTGTTTATTACCTCAGTGCCAACAGAAGGCTGCTGACCTGAATAAACGGAATCTGGAGGTGGTCCCCCATACTTCCTCTGTCCGGTAGTCACATCAAGTGTATAGCCTGTTCTTTCCAAGAGTGCCTTGAAAAAGTCCAAATATTATTAATGCTTCATTCACATGTTCACACACATAGTTAGTAATCAATAGTAATTAACTAATGGTCAATCCAATTCCAATCTGTTCAATTATCTTAGCCAAATTCCTCCATACAGATGTTCATGGTCTATATTTATTTGAATATTCCCTTTTATGTATACTTATCAAAATTTCCACATATTGAAGATATTAGTTTTTAGTGTTCAATTAATTACTGAGTAATAAAACTAAAATCAACCAATCAACAACTTTATATCCACTCTGCTAATAAAAACTCATTAATTCCCAATTTGATTACTTCCCAACTCTAGATTTACCCAGTACCCCACTCCTAGACACACAATGCCATTTACTAGCATTTTGTCACCTTTGAGGTACCACTCTACTCCTAAAACCAAGCCTATAACTTGTAAGTATATCAAAACATTATCTTGTGAAGTACTGTATGCCACACAGTATGGCTCATTCATTTAAAAAAAAAAATAAATCAGACAAAATGACTTTGAAAATTGTATTAAAACTACAACAATGTAATTTCTAGATTTACTTCCCTCAACCGTTAAAACACAAATTAGCACTTTCTCTTCTTCATCCCTCTTTCTAGACATAAAAACTCCTTTTCTCCATTTTCTCAACTATAAAACAATTTTCTAAGTAACAAAACTACTGTGTTACTAGCTGACAGTTCAAAACTTATCAAAATGTTGTTAAATGACAAGAGACTAAGTCACCTCGGTGCCCCAAAATTTCATCATTTCTACTCAAATAGCATTATTCATGAAATTGAGACTATAGCTCAATGGTAGAATGTTTGCTTAACATCTATCCGACCCCCCCAAAAAAAAAACTTATTTATGAAAATATGTCAATTTAAAGCATTCATGAACTTTTTAAAACAACTTAAGTAGCTTTTTCATTACACTCAAATTTTACACCTTAAAGGTTTTAAGGCTATGAATATCAATTAAACCAAATAGGTCACCTTTCCTTTTCCTTATAAAATCCCTGTGCTACAAAAACAAAAGGTTTTTTAAAGGCAATATTTATAGCCAGGCATCAGTGGCACACTATTTAGTCCCAGCAATTGGGAGGCAGAGGCAGGCAGAACTCTATATGAGTTCTAGGATAGCCTGGTCTACAAAGTTAGTTCCAGGACAGGCTCCAAAGCCACAGAGAAACCCTGTCTCAAAAAAAAAAAAAAAAAAAAAAAAAATATATATATATATATATATCCCAAGTAACACTGTCAATAAAGAGAAAAAGTGAAAAACTACTTTATCTACCTCCTCCATCAAACATCCTTATCAAAACTTTCTCGGTCCCATTAAAAAGTTCATTCAACCCACCTCCTATCAGACTTTCAGAAAATAAATTCCCCACCACACTGGTATAATTCCAATGAGAACAACTAAAGTCCATTTTTTTAATGGAAATCTAAATTATAGGTCAAACTGAATCCATTCATAGCTAGACATGTGAAGACTCATGGTTTCTGGTAACAACATTAACTTCAAATTCCAATCATGTCCATGATCTAGGCTTCCCTTTCCAATAGGGGTAAAATACTACACGTTTGTGCCCTTCTTAGGAAATGATTTTCTTAAATCATAACCTTTACCTCAAGAACAGTAAACAATATTTAAAACTCACCAACTTAAAAACTAACATAGCCTAGCAGTGTTGGTGCACACTTTTACTCTCAGCAGAGGCAGGCAGATCTCTGTTGAGTTCAATGCCAGCCGTATACAAAGCAAGTTCCAAGACTAATATATACAAACCTAGGTAAACAAGGCAATTTAATCTCCTTTATGACTCTAAAACCAAACAGCCAGCAAAAAAAAAAAAAAAACTTTCACTCCCAACCCAATGTCTTTGCTTGCTTTATCACAATGAACAGTGTTGCTGTCAAAAGTTGTTTAGAAATATAGCCCAATTTGAAAGGCATTATTAAAATTCCAAATTCACCAGGGCTTAAACCTCCTAAGAAAATCAACCATTTGCCCCCTTAATAGTAACCTGTTAAGGAAAAATTTAGACTTAACCATTCATTGATCCATCTTTTTTCTTTTTATTAATTTAGAAGTGACAGCACAGGTTGGAACATTTGTGGTCAGTCAAGATAAAATGAACTGTCAGTTACTTTTCAAAATCTAGTCATTAGCTGGGCATTGGTGTACCCAGGAAGCAGATGGATGGATCTCTGTGAATTCAATGCCAGCCTGGTCTACAGAGCTAGTTCTATGACAGAGAAACCCTGTCACACACACACACACAAAAAAAAAAATCTAGTCATTAAAAGACAATAACCTTAGAAATATACTCATGTCACAGCAGAAATATTTACCAAAGCTACAAAATAACCAAAAAACAAAACAATACAGCCAAGAGGTGGTGACACACACATCTTTAAATCCCAGCAACTTGGGGAGGCAGAGGCATGCAGATCTCTGTTAGAGGCCAGTGTGGTCTAAAGAGCCTCCAAAGATGCAGAGAAACCTTGTCTATAAAACAAACTCACTCTCTCTCTCTCTCTCTCACACACACACACACACACACACACACACACACACAGTGTTAAAGCTACAGAAAGTTCTCAAAGACATACCTTAATCTTTGACTCATCTGGTCCTTTACTGGAGTCTGCTACTTTGGTCCCTTGTTTCTCTCTCTGCCTGTAAGTCTTCATGACTCCACATAAAAAGGCACTTTTGTTCTGTAAAGAAATTTTCCGTTCATATTAAGGTTACTATTATGTCTGTGTCTAATTAAATTTAAATGAGCAGATGAAAAGTACTCATTTTTTTTCTTTCTACACTGAAATTAAATTAACATTACCTGCACATGAGAGAGATCACTGTCTTTAAACTGTTGAAGTACTGCCAATGCGCCGTCTTCATTGAACTCTTTTAAAGCTTCGATAGCTCTTTCATCTAAATCGCTATGTGCAACTAGCCCTGGAAAGAGAAAATGTAGTTAGTTATCACCTTTTAAATTTTCCAAGTTATTTCTTCAGAAAGTCCTGTATTGGCCAATACAGGTGCATACACGTGTGACGATTCTACTCCCCTTGTCTACATAATGAAGAATATAAATATACTTCAGACTTCTGAACTAAGTCCTCTCAACCACACAGAAAGGAGTCAACATATTTTACATCCCATTTTGTGCCAGAGTAATCCTGAACACTACAATATTTCTGCAATAAGTGTATAGACCTACAAATCCTGTCAACCAACAAAACACCAAGAATAACAACTGCAAGTCTACTCAATGTCAAGTGCCACTACAAAAAGGAACCACCACACCAAGAGAAACGAGAGCTAGCATAATAAAGTAACCAAGTTATTAACAAGAACCCTGCTTTAAAAATACCCCCAAAAGTCACATGGGCTGCTCTCAACATTTAGCAGCTGTTGCTACTATCATATACTTATCCATCAGGCCAGACAGCCTTTCCCTAGGGAGGTCTTTCCCCCAATTCATCCCTCCCTCTACACTTTAAACTCTAGATCAAACCAACTATCAGAACAAGGCAAAGCTCCTGTTCCCACATTTATTGGAAACCACAAAAAGTTGCTATTTTAGCTCAAAGCCAGAAATCCAATAGAAAAATTTCATAATGTAATTTTGCAAGTGTTAGTTCTTACCTGCAACGTAAATTTCATCTAGTTTTTCAGCAACTTTCTGTGGTAAACCAGCATCAAGCAATGTCTGAAAATGTTCTGAATGGATAACTGCAGAAGTAGTATCCATGGGCTCTTCAGTACCATTTCCATTAACATGTTCTGTAGCCATGTTTCCAGAGATCTGTTCAAACGCAATAAGCAAAATTAAACTAGGATCTTCAAAAAGAATAGAGGACAATGACAGTCCCAATCTTTACTTTCTACCAGTAACTACATACAACCAGCCAGCCTGCGCCTCCCTCGAAAGAAACCTTAAAGTCACCATCGCCTGACAAGCCAGATTTGGAGCCCGGGGTACAGAAGGACCAATTCACTACATTCTTTCCTGAGCACCACCCCTGACTTCACCTGCTAACACTCGCTAGGAAAAACCTTATTCCAAATGAAGCCCAATCAGCACAGGGACCGGCCGAGCCTGCCACAAGCAGCAGTTCCAAAACGGAGAAGAAGGTGTGTGTGAAGAAAGCAACGCTGGGCTTGTCTCTCTCCAAGGTAAACCAGAAAGTGCGCTTTTCCCGCCTGCCGCTTATAGATCAGTAACAACAGCCAGCGAAGAACAAAGCGCTCACACAAGCCACCTTCCCACCACCCAATTCCTCCACCCTTCACCCCCACACCCCAAAGCCCGCCCCCGACTCCGCACCCGGAGCGGCAGCCTCACCACTGCGGCCGCCAGGAGCCCATTAGAAACACGTGCTCTGCGCCTTCAAATGTCCTACAACTTCCTTCAACGGAAACCCACCGAGCACCGGGCCAAGGCGGTCGTCACCGCCTCCCAACATCAACCCGCAGTCGCGGTCCGAGCCCCCCGAACGGTGCAGCCGCACAATCTCGCCCCTCAACACCGAGGCCGCGGCGGCGCCAGGCCACGGGCTCTCCCCGCCCCCCAGCGCCGCCGTCTCCGCCTTGACACATGGCTCTCCGCCCCGGGCGCTCCCCAGTCGCCCGCGACCCCCGGCCTCCCGCACCCCTCGGTGCAGTGGCTGCGGCGCCGAGGCCGACAGCCCGCGTCGGGAGGGCGTTCCGCCGCCAGGCGCACGCCCGCGGGAGCCGAGCACCGCCCAAGCCCGCCGGCCGGCCGCGGGACAGCACCCGCGCCTCTCCGCCCACTCCCGCGCCGCCGGCCACGACAGCACCAAGTCCGCCCGCCGCTCGCCGCTCGCGGTCCGCGCGGGCCACGGGGCTGCCGAGGCGCCTCCTCCCGGAGCGCCGCAGACAAAGCCCAGCCGCGGCAGCACATGGAGAGGAGGAAGTGGCGGCGCGGCCGCGGCCTACTCCCTGGCAGCCCCGGCCAACGTGCTCCTCTCCCCCTTGGAATCCATTTTCCAGAAAAGCCGGTTTCTCCCCGCGCCGCCCTCCCCCAAGCTCCCTCCACAATGTCACGGAGCTCCCCTCCCAGAGCCGGGTGCCGGCGGTCGTTACCTCCCCGCGGGGCTGCGGCCGAGGAATCCTGTCCGACCGGGTCGGGTGGCGGGGAACGCGTGCTCGCTGCTCCCTGTGTCCGGCGCGAGTGGAGCTGTTGTAAAATGGCGGCCGAAGCTCACGCCGCTGGCAGCAAACCCGATCCAGTTCCACTCGCCTCCGAGCGCGCTCCCAGTGCGCGCGCGCGCCCCCGCGTGACCCCCCTTCCCTCCCCTCGCTGGCGCGTCCGCTTCTCTCTCACTCACTCCCTCAGCCCCTGCCCTCCTCCAGCTCCTCCTTCTCCCCCTGCCACCTCCGCCGGCCGCCGGCCGCCCTGCCCTCTCGGCCTTCCTCCTTCCCTTCCCTGCACCTCCTCCCCCAGCGCCCCACTCCCGTCCGCGGCCGCTCAGACACGAGTGGCCGCCCTTCTGCTCCTCGCTGGCGCTCCGGCTCACGCCCTCCCTCGCTAGCTCTCTCGGCCCGTCCCCAGTCCCTGCCGAGTCGCTCTTTCTCTCTCCCGCGCTGACGTGACGACGCAGCCGACGCCTCGGGACGCGCGCCCGCGGGCCCCGCCTCCCGCCCCGCCCCTAGCTCCTTGCGGGTTGGGGGGGAGCCGAGACCCCGCCCTTCCGCCGCGGCGGCGGTGAGGGGCCAAGTGAATGAGAGGCCCGCCCTCTGTGCGGACACTCCCTCGCGCTCCGCGGGCGGGGCGGCCTGCCCGGCGTGTCCCACTCGTTCTTTGTCAGGAGACAAGCACGTCCCCACCCCGCCCTCCCCGCCCCCACCGCCCCACCGCCGGCCCGGGCTCCGAGGGCTCCCGGCACTAGTCGCCGGCTCTGCCGGGGCCGCCGCCGCCGCCGCCGCACCGCGCCCTGGGCGCTCGGGAAGCTGCAGGCGCACGTGTCCCCCGGGGCGGGGCGAGGCGAGGCAGACAATGGGACCGCGGGGGAGGGGGAGCCGCACGGGGATGGCGGGGCTCGGGGCGACCCGGTGGCGGGGCTCGAGTTCGGGAGTCACCCCGGGGAGCCCCGGCTTCCGCCGCTGGACAATGGGGCATCCCGCGGCCCGGCGCGCGCCGTCCTCCGCTCCCACGAATCCCCTGGGCGGAGGGAGGGGCGCCGCACCGCGCGGCGGGTTAGCGAGGAAATCCCAGTGCCTCCCGCCCGGGGATGACACGGAGGCCAGATTTGGAAGCTTAACCGGCCCGGTGGTGTTGGGTTGTGCAATATTCCGTTTCTGTCCCTGGCCTTTTAAGCAGTTGAGTGCTCCTCCTGGCACACTTTGAACAACTTGAAGCAGCACAAAGCTTCGTGATTAGGACAACTGTGAGGAAAATGTCCGTGTTTCTTTTCAAACATCTTGGCAACTAAATGTTATGCGAAGTGACATTTCCTTTGTAACCGTTTACTAGGTACAAGAAAGACAAGACAAAGGCGCTTGTATCTCAGACGATATGGATACTAATTTTATCCAGACCAACTGTAATGAAAATAGCATTATCCTTTTGACAAAGAAATAATAATAATAATAAAAGCTTTTTTTAGAAAGCTACTGGTTCCCCCCACAAATGAGCTTTATGCTATGATAGCTAAGGCAGTAATCCAAAGAGTAGACACTCTTCAAAGTGCTTAGGCACATAAAATGGTGCTTTGACAGGTGGACCAAATAGGAAACATTTCTGAAGTTCTGGATATCCACTGCCTAAATATCTTACTATCAAACATAGGATTTCATTAATTCAACGAGATTTTAGTTCATATCTCAAAGGTCTGCATAATGGATTCAATGACAAACAACCAAAATGTTAATAGAGGTAATTTTTAAAGTAATGGATTAAACAAGGTGGACAAAGTTTGAAATTGAAAGTTTTATTTAACAATTCCTGAATACAAGACCTTGTTTAAAAAGAGCCAATCCCTAGGCAATGTCAAGAACTCTCAGAACGAGAGACCTCTCCATCTGACCTAAATTCCTTTCGTGTCTTAGACCTTTTTTCCCTTGCACTTTTGTAAAGGTTTAATTATCTGTATGTGTGTGGCAGCATGTGAGTACATACTTATGAGTGCAGGTGTTCACAGAGGCATTGGATCCCTCTGGAGCTAGAGTGACAAGCAGTCATGAGCTTCTGGACTTGGGTGCTAGGAACCAAACCTCAGTCCTCTAGAGAGCAGCAGTAAGCACCCTTAACTGCTGAGCCATCTATCTCTCCAGCCCCCATACTTTTAAGGCTCTCTGATACAATGAAGTTTCAAAAGGAATTGAATGCCAGATCCTTCCTTTAACAGTTTCCATTATCCCAGCAGGAGAAGACTAAATAGCAAGTTCAAGACCAGCCTGGCACTTTGAGGTGCTGTCTGAAAACAAAACAACAACATCCCCCAGAGTTACCATTGATAGGATGGATAGTCATCCATTAGCACCCAGCAGCATGACTTGGAAAAGGAGTCATGTAGGGCACCAGATTCTCCTGCTGAAATCAGTTCATAAAATTCTATCAGTTATGTCCTCTCCCAAGACTCACTATCTGTCTTGGAACTGCAAAGCCACCACCCTCTACCATGTATACTAAAAATGGATCATTCTGGCTCATCTACTCTTGAAATTCTGATCCACTGAAGGCTAGCCTACGTCTGCTTGTTTGTGTGCATTCTCATCCTCCTGCCCATGCCCTTACTTAAAAGATCCTATGAAAAGTTTGTAGTTCAGTGGTCAACCCTGCTTCATCTCCAACATCTTCCCCCACCTCCCAATGGAAAAATTACACTTAGGAGAAAATCCCTCACAGTCTCATGTAGCTCAGCTGGCCCAAGATGATCTTGAATTTCTCATGCTCCTACCTCCACCTCGAGAGTTGGGACTGGCTTCACGTAAACTAGACAAGCACTCTGTCACCTGAGCTACATCCCATGCTCAAGAGCTCAAATCCTTAAGTCAACAAGGCTGTCCCCCATTTTAGCCAACTGCAGCTGGCTTTTCCTTGATTCTGACATTTGTATTAAGGTAGCTCAAACTAAGGACTTATTCAGAGAAGTGGCTGTTGTCCTGAGCAAGACTGAATGAAAAACATATAGCTATGCTCTCTACTTCCCCCTTCTTGTTTCTTCTGTCTCTCTCTCTCTCTCTCTCTCTCTCTCTCTCTCTCTCTCTCTCTCTCTCTGTCTCTCTGCCTCTCTCTCTCTCTGTCTCTCTGCCTCTCTCTCTCCCTCTCTCCCTCTCTCTGCCTCTCTCTCTGCCTCTCTCTCTCTCTGCCTCTCTCTGTCTGTCTCTCTCCCCTAAAGGAAAGGGTAGAATTCATTATTTTCTCAGAGTGCTCTCAAACTCCTAGGCTCAAGCTACCCTTGTGCCTCTATCTCCCAAGTAGTAGCAGGAACTTCGAGCAAATAACCACCATACCCAGCTCATATGACATCTTTCAAATGAAAGGTGAAACAAATGAAACAATAATGTAATTGTCCTCCTGGCACTCAAACATTCTGGTTCCAGACTTGATCTAGAAGTTTTATTATTATTAAGATATGGGGAAATCCCAATAAGCTAAAAGCTGAACAGGGCCAGGCTATGGTGATGCTGGCCTTTAATCCTAGCACTCCAGAGGCAGAGGCAGGTGGATCTCTATGAGTTGAGGTCAGTCTGTTCTACAAAGTGAATTCCAGGACAGCCAAGGCTATTTCACAGAAAAACCACGTCTCAAAAAAGAAAAAAAGAAAAAAAAAAAGCCTGTGGTAGCACTCAGATCCACCTGCCTCTGCCTCCTTAGAGCTGGGATTAAAGGCATGCTCTACCATCACCTGGCTACCTTTCCCATTATATGGACCCTTACTCCCACAAAAAAATAACAGCAGTAAGTAAACCCAGTATAGCTGTACACCCCTGTAATCATAGCCCTGTAGAGATTGAGACAAGAGGATCAAAAGTTCAAAGTCAGGGCTGTTGAGATGCCCAAGCAAATAAATTCCGTCCTCAGAATCTATATATGAAACAAGTACCAACTCCCCAAAATTATCCTCTAGCCTCAACCTGTGCACCAATCCACATACATCCACAGGTGTAAGCACACAAAGAAAAAGAGAGAGAGAGGAAGGAAGGAAAAGGTTTTAAAGTCCAAGGCTAGGGCCGGCAAGGTGCTTTAGTAGGAAAAGCACTTGTCTCAAAAGCCTGCTGATTGGAAGATGGAGAGATGGCTCAGTAAGAGCATTGGCTGCTTTTCACGAGAACCAGGTTCATTTCCCAGCACTCCAGTGGCAGTTAACAACTGTCTGTAATCTCCAGTTCCAGGGGACCCAATACTCTCTTCTGGCCTCCACAGGCACTGCAGTGGTATAAGGACATTCTTGAAGGCAGAAGATTTATATAAAAATAAATATTTTTTTAAATGCCAATATGACTTGTTTAAGAGTACTTATTGCTCCTTCAGAAGACCTGGGTTTGGTTCCAGAGGATCTGATACCCAATTCTGTCTGCTTCAGGCACCAGGCATAAAAATGGTGCACGTGCACTTTTGCAGGCAAAAGCACTCACGCCCTTAAGAAAATAATTAAAAAAAAAAAAAACACCAAAGGGCCAGACAGCTGTCAGTGAATTGCTTGCTGTGCAAATATGATGATCTGAGTTCACACCTCAGCACACACGTGAAAAGTCAGGCACAGTAGCACACTTCTGTTATGTCAACACTAGGGAGGCAGTGTCAGAAGGGGCTCAAACCCAGCCAGTCTAACTTAACCAGTTCTGAGTGAAAACCCCTGTTTCAAAACCAAGATGGACAGTCCTGGAAAACAATGCCTGTAGCCTCCACGTCCACGCATGCACACACACACATACCACCCACACAAAGGCTGATGATCTCTGATTTTGGATCTAGCGCCCAGCTTGTATGAGGTGAAATCAACACTCACATTCATTGTCCATGACACATCCTTTTTTTTTTTTTTTTTTTTATTTTGTTTTTCCAGACAAAATCTCTCTAAGTAGCCGTGGATGGCCTGGAACTCACTAGATGTTTCAGAAATACAAAAACTAGAGACTAAAGAGCTGACTTAATAGTGAAGATCACTTGTGGTTCTTACAGGGACTTGAGTTCAGATTCCAGTACACAGGTTTACCAGCTCTCAGCCCCATCTGTAATTCCAACTTCAAGTTATCAGACACCCTTTTCGGGCCTCCATGGGCAGCCACAGGTACATATATATAAA